CAGAGGCATTGCTCTCTCCTTGTATTCAAACAGTAGTACATGCTGAATGTTTGTCTCGTCATGTGCCATCACTATAAGGGATTCGAGTATACTAAACTTTATATATTATATACACTACACTAACATGAAGCTTAGGTGGTTCATTTAACTATTATACGTGATGTACTTTTCTTGTGGGGTGGTTAATGAAAGTGTTCTAAAGCACAACGTTAGTTTCTTGATGACCTAATATATGTGATTCAAGTTTATGAAGTTACTTGAAATGATTGTATTAGAAAAAATATGTAGTGTAAATTATGGAAAAAAAAAATTAATGTAATTTAAATGACTAATAACAAGTGCTACGTTTTTGTAAGTATTTTTTTCAAAGTTAGTCAGTCCAACAATGTTCATTTTTCCCCAGTTCAAAAGACTGAACTTTGGGTAATACTTACAATAACTACTAAGCATAATATTAGTTAAACAAAAAAGTCAAAATTATTGTGGTGAAAAGTATTAATATATATATATAGTAAAACTACTATTAAATTAGTTCTTTTTGGGTGTTATGCACAATTTTAAGTTTATCATACTGTGCTAATTATATATTGAATCTTGTTTTTAATCAACTTAAGTTTTAAATTAGATAATGTATTTTCTGTTTAAAGTTAGATGCTGAAAACATTCTAAGCTTTAATACTCTTGAATATGAGTCAAAACCACCAGGTACAACCCATCCACTGACACTATGCATGAACTGAATTAATATGAAATATATTTTACGTTTTTTTCAGGTGTCTTTTGTATGATCGAAAAGCTTTTAGAGGTACTTCACCCATGATGGATCGTTTGATGGCAAGAGCTTTGGCTTCCCATCAAGTATGATAATTTGATTTATGTAACTGATTCTTCATTGTTTGTCAAGAAAGAACCTTGTTGCCAAGTAAATACCATCAAGATGCAAAGTGAATATGTTATGTTAAAATTCTTCATAGATTGTATTACAATAAGTTTTTATGTTAGCCATTTACTTAAATGATGTCTTATTAGTCATGCATAAAGGATAATGAAATTTCCATAATGGAAAGTTTTAAGCTATTGGCAGTTGCATTTTTTTTCTCCAGAGTGACATTAGTGTTAATTAATTTTTTCTTGAACACAAATTGTTACATTTATGCATTATAACAAAATTATCTTTCTTGTTCTGCTGTACATAAACCTTAATAATTATGTTGTTTCTGATTAAAGTTAAAAAGATTGTACATTTTTGGCATTAATGTAAAACGGGGTTTTACTAAAACAAATTTTGTCATAAAAATAGCAAACAGTTTACATGTTGGATTTTAAGAAAATTTGAGCTTTAGCATAGCCAAAAAATTTCAGTTTGTCTGAAATAGCACATTATCAACTGTTATTGCTAAATATTATTGATACACAAAACAACCACAATTAAAGAATTCAAATTAGAAATAGCCATGATAAAAACAGAAAACACTATGCAGTACTGCCATTTTTCTTTCCTAGCACAAATATTTTGTGTAGCTTTCTTGATTTGTTATATTGTTATTTGTGAAATAAAAGTACATTTATACTTCCAAGAGTAAACTCAAGAGTTAAATTTGTTTAATCACCTACAGGTGCACATGTTGCAGATTTACATTTATTCAAACTTCAGTTTTCATTCACCAAAACGTAATATTTAAAAAACTGTTTTATAACAACTTTGCATATTAGTCATGCTTATAGATTCATTGCTGATATTCTTTTACTGAGTAATCAATGTTTTCTTAATACTGCTAAACACATTTATCCACCAGAACTCACTGGAAAAAAGTTATTTCACCACAAGCAAAGCACATTATCTGGATTTACATATAAATTAAATGTTCAAGTTCAAAATTTTAAGTAAAATAGACAATTTTAATCTTCAAGTTATAAGCCTTACATTTCCAAATACAAATACACCAAATAAGTTTGGTTACAATGTTTACTACTCACAGCTTATTAGATACAGTAGAATTTGTTTGAGATAACCAAACAGAATGGATAGAGGTTATAAACTCATTATTATTATTTTTTACATTCTGAACACAGTAATTATTAAACTTTGTGATAAATTTAGTAATATTCTTTCTGCCAATTATAAAATGAATAATGTTATAGAATATCATGACTCTTACAAAACTACATCTACATTTTAATTTCTTAATATTGTTACGACATCGAGGTCACGTGACTAGTATCACGTCATGTCGTTCTCGAACATTCACGTCCTTT